TTCGACAATTCTATACATCACGTGGTGCTCACCATGACAGTGCACTCATTAGTCACCTATTTCACCCATCCCCACCCCCAACGTCCCCTCTGGTAACCACCAGTTTATACTCTATAGTCAAGAGTCTGTTTCTTGGTTTGCAGCCCCCAACCATCCCTCTCTCTCTTCCCCTTTGCTCCTTTATTTTGTAAAAAACAAACTTTTATTGAGGAATTACTGTATACAAGGCACTGGTCTAGATACAGGATGGTAGGAAGCCCCAGGTAGGGATACAAGGGTGAATGCAACCTCAGGGTTCATATAACTACCTTATTTGCCAGAGAAACAATGGTTATTCCAATTCTGAAACAGAAATCAGTTCCTATGGTTGGGGGCTAGGTTGTAGGGCGCGAGGAGAGGGGTGGTGTGCTAATCTCAGACAGGATCCAATGTAGATTGCAATTGCCAAAGGCCCTGGAGCCCTTGTTCCGAGATCAGCCTCCCACCCTGGCCCCTATGATCTTTCCCTCATTCTGCTTCTTCTCCTTCTCCCCCCAAGTACACTCATAGTACACTTTCTGCAGGCGAGTTTCTAATGACATACATTGTATAGAGTAAAATATAGTGCTCATTTATATTTAGACTTCATGAAAGCAGCTTCTTTTGTTTTGTTTCAGCCTTTTTTTTTTTTTTTTTTTTTTTTTTTTTTTTTTTTTTTTTTGCCCATGATAATTCTAAAACAGGAATTTGAGAACTCTGGATTTAGTTGACTGTATTGACTCTTGCTTTTGTTTTTCTTGTGGGAATTTCTAATCTTTTAATTATACTCTTCTTCAAGACCTTGCAAATATTGGCAACACATAAAATCAGTGTTATATAGGAAGAAAGATCCATCATGATATGCTTGAGGAAAACACACCAGAGATAATTAGATATATCCATTTTTATCTTTGCCTTGTTTTCTTTAAATTAGGACTAACTAGTACCAAGAGGCCCTATGGAAATATATTGTTTGAGCTCCTGTAGAGGTTTTTATTGGAGAAAATTTTCTAATTCGTGTGTTTGACTGATTTAATGTAGAAAACGCAAAAACAGTAGATAAATTACTGGAGCCTCTCTATTTGTCAGCAAATATGCCTTTGGCTGCTGACTATGTCTTAAGAAATGTGAATGTTCCAAAAAGGCAATAGAGCCATCTCTGAGGAGAGCAAGAAATTAGCTTTGCTGTTACTTTTCTTTATTTGCTTTTAAAGAATATATACAGAACGTTAAGTGAACTAGAGAAAATATTTGGAAATATATTTAATACTTCAGTCCTTTTGTGGAATCTATTATTTTGCTTACATGGTTTCTCCCTTTTTCCTGCTAATTCTCTTTACTTATTTTTTTTATTTTTTTTTAACATTTATTTATTTTTGAGACAGAGAGAGACAGAGCATGAACGGGGGAGGGGCAGAGAGAGAGGGAGACACAGAATCGGAAGCAGGCTCCAGGCTCTGAGCGGTCAGCACAGAGCCCGATGCGGGGCTCGAACTCATGGACCGCGAGATCGTGACCTGAGCTGAAGTTGGACGCTCAGCTGACTGAGCCACCCAGGCGCCCCTTCTCTTTACTTATTTTATCCCTGACTGTTCTTTGTTTGATTTTGCAGTTGCTAACAGAAACTTCCTCATCTGTTCTTAAGGAAACATTTAGTCTTGAGACTTTAGTTAGCAAGTTAGTGTTTAAGGTGACTAGTAAAATCTAGAACTGTCTGGATCAACCCATGCCACATGACCTATTTGCTAAGGAATCAGAGCTCCTTATCCAGAGTCATTCAGGCATATTGCTTTCCTGCAACTCGAGAAGCATTGATGGTTGGGAAGAAAATGGAACGGAGCATTTACCTAGCTCCTCTGAACAACTGGATCCGAGTTGACCTAGCCTTACAAATATGTGAAGCCAGGAATGTGGAAAACAGAGTAAGACAACGCAAAACATGTTATGATATAATAAATTCAGCTTCATCTCGCCTAATAAATTAACTTGAAACATAAATATTCACAGTGATGCACTATGTGTCTAATTGCATGCATTACTGTCTGTTATTTGTAGAAAAGGAAAGCAATGTACAACAGCACAATATATTCAAAATTGTTTTCTGATTTAAAATATTTACTGTCAAGTATTGCTAATTGCTTGTAAATATGCCTTCTGAAATGTTAGTAATATGTTGAATAAAATGTAGTCTGCAGTATTAATTTATATGTCTATTTTTAGTTGAATGATTTTGCATGCATTTATTTATGGCCTAGATGCATTTTTTAATTCCAGGTGTGCATATATTTTCTTACTAGCTTATTGCTTTTGCTTATTTAAATTTATTGAATTAAGATTTCAACTCACTTTGCCATATCCAGATTCTCCACGTGTATTACTACTAGTTTATGTGACACTCAATATAGCATGCTTATGTTAATAAAGTATCTTACATTTAATGACATCAAATGTTATGCCAAGAAAAGTCTTATCAACTTGTGTCTATATGGGGCATGTGTATGTATGTGTGTGTAAAATATATATTATATACATATAGTGATATAAATCACTTCAATGTCATTAAAATCACTGATATATTTTGTGGATCAATTCACCCAATAATTAAGCATATTTGAAGAAAGCAATGTAATATACATGTTAAGGTTTTATGTGTATAATATCTAGAATATCTTTCAGGCAGTTCGGATTTAGGTTATGTCTGAGTGCCTTGAAGACAGATTGAGACACAGAGGCCTCAAAACTTAGAAGTCACATTTATCAACCCATCCAGCCCCAAGCACGCTTTTTTGAACATCACCCAGTTGGGTTACTATGGTTTAAAGATTAAAAGCACAATACAGGAAGGTTAGACCATGATTAGAAGAAGACACACTCCACTGAATACAGGCTGCTAAATAATGTTTGCCAGATCAAAGGCAAAGACTGTTACCAAGGACAATAGGTCTCCCGTGGTTCCAATATTGCCATTAAATTTCATTTAAAAAAGTGCTTTGCTTAAAAAAAATATATATAACAGACATTGAAATACAATTCATGCTGTTTGGGTCTTGACATACTGCAAGGTTAACATCAGTTTTATCTTACTTAGCATTGTCATAAAAAGTTGAAGCTTTTTAAAATTTCTATGTGGACCTGAAAACATGTAGGTAGTTTCTTATATTAAAAGAAAAATATACATCTTGTTTTCAGAGAAATTATCCCACAAGTCATCAGGGTTTGTAATTAATGTTTTCCTCTTATTAGGTGCCCCTCAGAAGCTATGGTGGTGGGAAGGTATAAGATACTAAAGCCCATGGGCTAGGACTGGCAACAAGGCCGAGGTGGGGCTGAGGGCCAAGGAAAGGGAAAGAAAGTTTACGTCTGGTATTCATTCACCTATCCAACTTCCTACCCTAAGCACCTCTAGAAATCAGACCCAAGTTTAAATTTGGAGGATATTTTGGAATACGAAGATGATCTCATGTTTTGAATTCCGGGGGGTTGCATATCAAACAAATTATGGTAAAACATTGTCTTAGTCTGTTTGGGCTGCTATAACAAAAACCCATAGAGTGGGTGGTTTAAACAACAGACAGTTGCTTCTCACAGTATTCCAGGCTAGGAATTCCAACAGCAAGTCACTAGCATAGCCAGCATCTGGTGAGAGGCTGCTTCCTGGTCTGCAGATACCAGCTACTCACCGCGTCCACGCTCAGCAGACTGCAGACAGAGAAAAGGCAAACTTTGTATGGCCACTAATCTTATTCCTGAGGGATCCACCGTCATGACCTAATTACCTCTCATAGATGGCCTTTGAGGTAGAAGTTGGCCTAATACCATCTCATTGTGGGCTTGGATGTCAACAGAAGAATTTTGGGCAGACACAAACAAGCAGTCCGTAGTATATGGAAAGCAAATGAAAAGAGGTATGAGCAAACGTGATGTGCCTAGGTCCGTGATTGGGCTGGGTTGTATCTGACAAGAGTTTCTGATGTAGATAGCAGAGGAGAGATACTCCGGATCTTACAGGAGGGGAAGGTATATCATATGCCAAATGTGTTATGCCAAAAGAAATAAATAGATATTATGGAAATAGCAATTCCTCACCCTCTGACCAGTTTGATCCTCTTTTTGAAGCCCTTCAGACTTACAAACTGATCATGTATTCCAAATATGGAAGCTGCCTTCGTGGTTTGTAGATGGATTGATATGCAAAATTGCCCAGTATCAGAAACAGATTTCCAATACTATGATGTAACTATATTTAATACCATATTTTAATAAATCAAGAAAACTCTTGATGAGAAAATACATTGGGGAGCACTAAAAACATATATATGTGTGTGTATATATATGCATATATGTATTTATATTTGCAAGATTAACTATAAAATGCATTCACATTCAGTGACAATAAAGGGTGAACAAAGTTCAATATTAAAATCTGTGAAATGTAGAGTAGCTAACGGTTCACAACTGAGTAATGCTTTACAAGTACCTTGCCATGTAGCAAGCGCAGGCACTATTGTCTGCTTGCAGAGAGAACAGGGGAGTAATTCAGTCCGTAAGTATTTATTGAGCAACCGGCATGTGCCAGGTATAATGCCGCGTGTTCAGGCTACAACCAAGAACAAAGTAGACGTCATCCCTCCTTGTGCATATGTAAAGGTTTTGGGTTTGTTTGGGTTTGTTGTTGTTGTTGTTTTGTTTTTTAGTTAGCTAAGGCTACAAACCTTGTTAGGTTTGTACCTTGTTAGGACTATGCAAGCATTTAGAGGTCAGATGTATGCCCAGCCATCCTAGCCCAGCAAACCCGACCAAATTAGAGAGCCTACTGGAAGGGAAAACAATTTCAAAATATTAATTCAGGTATAAAATGTACTGCAGAGACAAAAAAAAAAACCCTAATATATCTATTTCTCCTCTTTTTTTCTAAAAAAAAAATACATGTTAATGGTTTCCTACATGCCAGTTTCATTTTTAAACCTTTCCTCTGACCATAGGAGCTGACGCTGTGGAAGCTCAGTGTAAGAGATTTGAAGTGAGAGCGAGTGAAGATGGCAGGGTGCTGTTCTCTGCAGATGAAGATGAGATTACCATTGGGGCTGAAAAGCTGAAAGTTACAGGTACTGTAGCTTGAGGTCTTGGAACATCGTTTACTTCATGAAAGAACATGCAACTGAACAAGAGCTACGTCATAAGATGTACGATTCCCATGCCTCACATTGAGTTCGCATCATAACATGATCTCCCACCGTTTGATTTTCCAGTAGTCTTCAACTAGAAGGCACTGGTTGTGGTGCCAGAAGACAAGTAAACATTGGCCTCAGTGACATAGAAGTACAGCTGCACGTCCTAGGCGTCCTAGGTGGATGGAATAGGATAGGCAGAGCAAAGTGGGTCAGGATAGTGGAAGACAGCCTAGAATTCAGACACTGAGAAAAGCTAACTAAAGGTGATAGACATATAAGATTCAGAGGTATTATTTAAAAGTGAAAGGCATGCAAAGAAGACCTAAAATGCAAATACAATGGTAGACTGAAGTAGGGGAAAGGTTATGAGTAAACTAAATTCTTTTCTTTAGATCTTGTAATTACTCTCAAAAGCACCAAGAAATAATGTTATCCACATATTATTTAGAAGTTATTAAAGTCATTATTCTAATGTTAGGGCTATTAAAGTCAATCACCAACCGAAATTAAAAAGCAAACAAAACCAGAAATCAAAATTAAAAGCAAAGCTGGGAGTGAGGAAGGATTTTATGAAGACTGTTTTAAGCATAATCTTTTTGAATCACTTGGTTTGCCATCATAATTTGTATTGTTTTGATAACATATTTAAGAAATACCCAAAGAGGCCTACATTTAAAAAAAATCAGGTAAGTTGGCCTAGTGTTTCCCAAATTTGAGTTTGGGAATAGCTCGTGGGATATCTGTCCTATTTAGGTCCTACTGAGCCCTGTGGGCCATGTGAGAACACTTAGCATGGGAATTGGTCTCTGCTCTCATGCTGTTTGGGTTGAATCCTGCCTCTGCCGTTCAAAATTGAAATAAACTCCATGCCTCCCATTTTCCTTCGTCTAAGTGACTGAAATGATAATGACAACTTTAGTGGTCAAATTACACCGGTGTATGTGTGCACACTTATGTGTACTTATAGGTGTTTAGAATATCTTAGCACATAATGAAGATATCGTATGGGTTAGCGTGTTCTATTTATCAATAAAGACAATATTAATATTGTTAATGTTGCAGGCATGAGGGCTTGTGTGTATTGCAAGAAAGGTATACTATTAAATGGCACTGAAATTCAACAAAAAGATAGTTTAATGGGGATCTTCACTGGGCCTCCATGGCCTGGGTCACATCCTGCCACCACCCACCCGTTCCGTCTCCCAAAGCGTCCTTTCTCTCGTGGGATGTTCCACTTAGCTGGAGCCTGCGCCATCGGGTTGGTGTTTGGAGTATTCCCCAAATTGCCCAAATGCCTCCTCTCCTTTTCTTTCTTCAGACTGCTTGGAGAGGTCAGGAAAAGAAGCCCCCACCGCAGGAAAAAATTGGCCTTCCTAAGCCCTGAGTGTGGGGGGGGGGGGGTGCGTGGAGGGGGAGCAGGGAACAAAACACGAAGCACGAGCATTTTGATTGGCACAGAGCACAGACAAATAGGACAGGACATTGACTTTAGGGCCCTCAGTGCTAACATTTGAGTTGCTGGTTGGTGGGAAAGTGGGAAGATGGGGTAGAAACACACTCAGGGGGATCAAGTAGATGTGATTTCAGTATGTAACACTCTTTGAACTTTGCTGGTGCCTACTGGTTATCAGCTTTAATCTTGGGATAGCTTTTAGGCCATGTCACACTCACCTAAAAATTATCTTATCCATATTCAGATATTCCCATGGAGTACTTTGCATTTGTAAGTGACAGGAAGTTCTGGAGCTTTTGACAGCTTTTATGAACTCATGGAATTTTAACTTTCTCTGATCTTTGTGCTAACTTGACTTGTCTCATAACAGTTGCTATGAAATGCTGTCTTCACAAAATTTGACTCATTAACTAGTTTTTAAATTTTTCTTTGAGGTACATGGGTACTCACCTTTATTTTCCTCTTTTTCTTGGTAGGCTGGCTGTCATCCTTGGATTAAGTGGAATTATTAAGTTAGTAAATTAGAAAGTCAGTGGAGAAAGTGCTCCCTGAAAAATCGAAGTTTTTCTGCTTGTCAATTAACTGCTTTCAGATAGTCAGCTCTGCTGATTTAATCTCTCTCTTTCTCTCTCTCTCTGTCTCTCTTTCTCCCCCGCCCTGCGCACCATATATATGTGAATGTATGCATGTGATGGAATATATGGCATGTAGATATATGTGGATGTATAGATGGATAAATACATATGTCTCATTCCGGCTTTCTTTTTCCATTTCCTTCTGTCTCAAACATATATACATCACTTTGAGTTTATTCTTCGAACTATTTGTGATTGATTTTTATTATTCAGTTATTTCAGAAAATGAATCAGTGTTATAGTGGAGGTCTGTATCATGTATTCCAGAAGATCCTAAATAATAAAATAATATAATTTTGAGGTCATGACTGCAGAATCCAGGCAGAAATTTCTGTAAGGGTTTGAAGCATAACACTTAAGATGAGAGAATGAGCGCGCCTGTAACAAGTAACCCCAATTTCTAACCTAATGTCGATATAGAAGAAGCTCCCCCTTATTAACAAAGAAATGGTAAGTTGAGGAGTATTTTCATTTGATTGGAATTCACCCCCCACCCCGCCTCCCCAGGAAGCAGTCACATTTCTGTTTCCTCCCAGAAGAGCCCACACACCCACAGACACAAACATACACACATTCACACACCCTCTCAAATTCCTGCTAGGTCCTTTCTCCCTTACCAGAATATTGAATATTCACTTTACAATGGCTTTATTCGTCGCTGCGATACTTCTAAAATAAAGGAAAACAGAGATATCAAAGGCAAATATAACTTAGAATTTCATACACTTAGAGGGGAAAATTGTGCAGAGTGCAGCATACAATTTAAAGGCACAGGGATTGATTAGAAACTCATATATCCTTTAAAGCAGTGCTTGAATCATTTGACAAATAACACTACAAAGAGACACTGACTCCAGGGTGCTTCATATAAATTAGGTAGCTGTGCTGACAAGACTTCAAAGTTCCATGTGACAAGAGATCTGTGTGAGGTTGATTCCAGAATTTTAAATTTGTGGCACAAAATTTTCTACTTAAGCAATATCCGTTGGAATTACAATTGATTCTTTCTGGCTTCATACTTTATGAGCAGTGGCATTTCATACATGGACTTCTCTTTCAGGATGACAGAAATGGATGAATTTATTTAGACAACGTGTCTATATACCTGAGGCAAAATCACTTAAGACTGAAATTATTCACAGATCTAGTGTAACTCAGGATATTTACATTTACTCTACTTAGAAAGTAGCAGGATTTACCTCAGACATTCAAAGACTCCTAGGGTGCAGGGGGATAGAATAAAATCACCAGTGGTTACCTGAAGAAGGAACATGCCTCATTACTCCATCACCCTGATAAACAACCATGTGCTTAAAATTTGGAATTGTTTATTCTCGATACCGAATGACTTGCCCCGGAATAGCTTGCTTAAATCTTAATAGGAAGATGCTTCTATGACCTTAATATGCCCTCTCTACATCACTAAATATATTGGAGTGTTACACTTTAGACCACATGTGCATACTTGAAAACTTCATTTTCATTTAGCGTTCCCTAACATTGCTCAAACATCTTACTTACTGCAATTATCTTTTGAGACCAGGTAAACAAATAAAAAATATAAACCTTTACACTTAGAAGACTCTTAAATTTAGGGCTTTCAGGTAGAATCAATCACCTGCAATTTGCACGTTCATTGGTATTCCAAGTAGTATATTAACTTAGAAAACAAAGTGCAAGTGTATGTCCTTTGACTTTTGAAAGTGAAAACTTTAGCTGCGTGGAATACCTTCGCGTTAAATTAAATGCTGTTAGTTGGATTTAGACCTCTCCGTTTGATTTATGAGAGAAAAGTGGACAATAGCTAAATGTATAAGGAGAAAGGATATCTCATTTTTTTCAGGCAGTAGAAATTAAAACTGGCAATCTGAAAGAATAGTGGATCCCATCCCAGAATCCACCCTGTGCCCTAATGTTTGCTTGAAAAGCCAAGAATATATCGTTCCTTTGTCCCTGTTCTAACTGAATGGTTGGACAGATAGACAAGCTCGAATGCTTGTTTGATGACAGAAGAAAGGGTTTTCTGAAGAGCAGTCTTTTAGATTCAACACCATGTTTCGGGGTGGTAATCAATATTTTCTGGTTTGTTTTTATTAGTTAGTCTTCTACATCCTTGTTCTTGTCTGTTAAATTGGCACACTGTGAGGAGGTCAACCTTGGAATCAAGCTTTCTATTAGGGAGGACCATTGTTCCCCAAGTTGTTCAAATGCCAAGAGTGTGGTAACACACAGCCAGCAGGATGGAGCTGCGTGGTTTGAATAGCACCAGAAGGAACGTGATTAGACCGGGTGCTGAGAAACGTAATGTTCAATTTTCTCAGGTGTGGCATTTCAAGTCTGTGGACTTGGGTAAATCACTCAACTCCGTTTTCAAATTGCCTTTTAAAGACACCGAGGATACAGATTTTAGAGACGCTAAAGATGAGTACCATTCTATTTCCGCCCCCCCCCCCCCCAGATCTTCAGGTGACAAAGGATTACAGGTTTCAAGGTATATAAATAATGAACCATGCCATCCTCAAACAATAAGCCCTGAGCACCTTACCGACAGTCCTTTCCCTGACTTATTTTATTTTTCCAAGCTGTCATTTAAATGTCTCCTACTTTAATTAAAGGAAAACTTATTGAAAATATAATTGTGTAATAGAAATCTTAAGAAAGTTATAAAAGAGGACAACTCCTTTATAAATAAGGTCAGAGGGTGGGGGGCATGAATCAACATCTTTGTGTATTGGTTTTACATTTTCCCACTGATATTTAAATTTCTTCCCATAGCTATGCGTCTTAAATCCACAAAATATCCCAAAGATATAATTTATCCTGCCACTGTGTAAATGACTAGTCTG